CGTCCTCCTGCTGTCCCCGGCACTCACCAGATGCTGCTTCGTCTTTCCACTGCTCCACGGCGTGTCCCTCTGCCTTCTCCTCCCGCGTCCTCCCTCCCTGCCCTTGCTGACCCCGAGTTTGACTCTCTTCGTGCTGCTAGTCCTACTGTCACGCGTCTCCTGTCCACAGTTGTCACTGACCCTTCCTTTGAGTCAGCTGCTGCGTCTGCCTTAGTTACTGAGCTTGTCGACTTTGCTGCTCACTGTAGACTAGACTACGCTGCGAGTCTTGTTGCTGAGTCTGAGTCTGTCTGTCCTCCGTCCGTCGGGGGTGAGTGTGCCCTTGGCACGGACGTCCTTGAGGACAGGCAGGAGGAGTTTGAGTGCTTTGCCGCCGCTGTACCTCATCTCGTGTCCATGCTGATTGCACCTGAGGGAGACCCAGATGCTCCAGACATCCCGACCCCGCGCTCTTACGCTGAGGCGATCGCGGGTGAGTACTCCTCTCAGTGGCAGACAGCCATGGATGCAGAGATGGCATCCTGGAAGTCCACTGGCACTTACGTCGACGAGGTTCCCCCTTCTGGGGCGAACATCGTCATTGGCATGTGGATTTTCAGGGTGAAGCGGCCGCCAGGTTCTCCGCCTGTCTTCAAGGCTCGGTACGTTGCTCGAGGCTTCAGTCAGCGAGAGGGAGTAGACTTCTTTCAGACCTTCTCCCCCACCCCGAAGATGACCACTCTTCGGGTGCTGCTGCACGTTGCCGCTCAGCGTGACTACGAGCTTCACTCTCTTGACTTCAGTACAGCTTTCTTGCAGGGCAGCCTGCACGAGGAGATCTGGCTGCGCCGCCCTCCTGGCTTCACTGGGTCGTTTCCTCCTGGTACCCAGTGGAGCCTCCGGCGGCCGGTCTACGGTCTCCGCCAGGCTCCACGTGAGTGGCACGACACACTGCGGACTACACTTGCGGCTCTTGGGTTCTCGTCTTCTACTGCCGACCCGTCGCTGTTTCTGCGCACCGACACTTCACTGCCGCCGTTCTACATCCTCGTGTACATCGACGACTTGGTCTTTGCCACTGCTGACACTGAGGCTCTCGCCCACGTGAAGTCGGAGCTGCAGAAGAGACACACGTGCACAGATCTGGGTGAGCTGACAAGCTATCTTGGCTTGCGGATCACCCGGGACAGAGCACGCCGCACCATCACACTGACTCAGTCACACATGGTGCAGCAGGTCCTTCAGCGCTTCGGCTTCACCTGGTCCTCGGCACAGGCCACTCCTCTGGCTATAGGTCACTCGCTCTCAGCTCTGCCTTCGGATGAGTCCGTAGAGCCGAGTGGTCCTTACCCAGAGCTAGTTGGTTGCCTCATGTACCTGATGACTTGCACTCGTCCTGACCTAGCATACCCTCTTGGCCTTCTGGCCCGCTATGTGGCTCCTGGCAGGCACCGAAAGGTGCACTGGGATGCTGCAAAGAGGGTATTGCGCTACTTGTGCAGTACATCGGGCATGGGGCTCGTGCTTGGAGGGAGGCGCTCAGTTGTTCTCACTGGGCACTCAGACGCTTCTTGGGTTGCCGACCAGGCTACTCAGCGGTCGTCACAGGGTTACACCTTCAGCCTTGGCTCTGGTTCAGTTTCTTGGCGTTCTACTCGCTCGTCTTCAGTTCTCAGCTCCAGTTGTGAGGCTGAGATCTACGCCACAGCCATGGCTGCACAGGAGTTACGCTGGCTGACCTACCTGCTGACCGACTTGGGAGAGCGGCCTAGTTCTCCTCCAGTGCTGTACGTCGACAACAAGGCTGCCATCGCCTTGTGTCAGGAGCACAGACTGGAGCACAGAACGAAGCACATCGCTCTCCGTTACTTCCTGGCTCGAGAGCTGCAGCAGCGCGGTCAGCTTTGTCTGCGTTACGTGGCCACTCGGGCCAACACTGCTGATATATTCACCAAGGCACTTCAGCCTGGTGATCATCAGCGCTTCTGCACTGTACTGGGGCTTGTGCCCACTGTTCCTCACTTACTGTAGGCTTTGTCTGTACTGTGATCTCTATATATATATACCTGCTTGTTTGTTTTGTTAGGTTGAGATCACCTTGCTGTTTGTGTTGCATATATGCCTCTGCATTTGAACTGGCCCTGTGGCCCTTTACTTGTGCTCAGATTGTGTGGTGACGTTGTGATCCACCCTGAGCTTGCTTTGCCTTTCTTGACCGGTCTTGTGACCCCTTGCTCTCCCCCACTTTGCCTATGGGGGTGTGTCAAACATTATCCATATGTTATTGCTGTGTAGGCTATAGTGGGTTAGCCTTTAGGGGGTACACAACTTTAGGGTTGCATACTTGTACTCCAATCTTTCATAGTTCAATCACTTCTCATTTCTAACAAGCAGGACGTGGGGCACAGAAATCGACATTGACAATTCAGAACAACGCAAATGTAGGTCCAGTTTACGATTAGCAGGGCTTTATGACGTGGTGCAGATCGCACCGATCTCACGCAATCGATGGTCGATTGGATCAGAATGCAATCGATTGGGTATGACTGCCCATTCTGACGCTATCATCGATCGCCTCCCGCGCCGCGCAATCTGACCAATGTTTTTCTTCGAAACAAGGCGGAACCTCAGCCGCGCGCCTTCCACGCGAACTGTACGTCCCTTCCTACTCAAAGTTGGCGAAACGAAGCGACCGTCCGTTTCGTGAAATTACAAGGTAGCCCCATTACGTCGCCAATTGTGTTATTTGGTCCAGAGGTTCAGTCTGGAAAGTTTGAATGCCGCGAGACGTTCTGTAGCAGCGAGATTTTTTTTTTTTTTTTTTGTTACTGATCGTGCACAGTCGTCAACTTGCCCAATCTATCGATTGCAATCGGTCGCAATCGATTGCATCAAATTCAGGCAATCGATCGCGATCGACAGATTGCCCCCGATTTCCCAAAAGTATCCCCTGGACCTTCACGGAAATTGAGGATTGCTAGATCGAGGCAATCAGCCTTAGATCGCCCTGATATGCACCACGTCCTTCTCATCAGGGCAGCTGGCAGTGTTCTGAAGCATATGTTGGTTGGATTGAGACTCCCTTGGGCATGCATAGTGGTAGCGTGGGGTGTCAGGCTCAGTCTACTACCAACGGCTACCCATATATTTCGCTCAACTCGTCCAATTCGCAAATCTCATTTCCATTCCCCATTCCCGTAACCAATCAAAAGGCTCCCTCACACCCCACGCTCCAATCCGTGTGCGACTCGGACTTGAAGCAGCTGCAGGGAAAGAGACCTTCCCCCTCACCCCCTCCTCTCCTCAACACCAACCAGCTGGGTGAGATAAATTCTCGCGTTCTCGAGCTAAGTAGCAGCTGATTCATCAGTTAGGTACTAGCAGCTGGCGACGGCTCCTCGCTTCTTTAGACAGCGTCTGGTCACGATAAGCCGCTTGACAAGAGACACATTTTTGCGAAATTCATTGTCGTGGCGAATCAGAGTCGAGAATGCGAGGCTTCAGCAACGGGGATACACTAGTCAGAATACTGAACGAGAATGAATGCATTGAGCAGAAAGTTGGTACAAGTACTAACCCTAATTGGGTTGTACCCCTTATGGGCTACCCTACTACAGCCTACACAAATGTATAAGCTATAATGTTCTGACACACCCCCATATGCAAAGTGGGGGAGAACAAGTGGTCACAAGACCAGTCAAGAAAAGCAAAGCAAGCTCAGGGTGGATCACAAAGTCACCACACAGTCCGAGCACAAGCAAAGGGGCCACAAGGCCAGTTCACAAGCAGAGTTATATAAAGAGAACAAACAATCCAGTGATCATACCCTAACAAGTGCAAGCATGCAGGTATATATTTAGATGACAGTACAAGCAGAGTCAAGCAGTAAGCAAGTGAGGCAACGTAGGCACAAGGCCTAACACAGTAGTAAAGAGCTGATGATCACCAGGCGGAAGTGCCTTGGTGAATATATCAGCAGTGTTGGCCTGAGTGGCCACGTAAGCAAGACAAAGCTGACCACGCTGCTGCAACTCTCAAGCAAGGAATTAACGCAGAGCGATGTGCTCCGTTCTGTGCTCCAGTCTATGCTCCTGACACAAGGCAATCATGGCCTTGTTGTCTACGTACTGAACTGGAGAAGAACGAGGCCGCTCTCCCAAGTCAGTCAGCAGGTAGGTGAGCCAGCGTAACTCTTGTGCAGCCATGGCCCCTGTGTAGATCTCAGCCTCACAACTGGAACTGAGAACAGAAGACGAACGGGTAGACCGCCAAGAAACAAAGCCGGAGGCAAGGCTGAAAGTGTAACCCTGTGGCGACCGCTGCGTAGCCAAGTCGTCAACCCAAGAAGTGTCTACGTGTCCAGTGAGGACAACTGGACCCCGTCCTCCAAGCACGAGCCCCATGCCCGATGTACTGCACAAGTAGCGCAACACCCTCTTAGCGGCCTCCCAGTGCTATGGTCGGTGTCACCCAGGCGCAACATAGCGTGCTAGGATGCTAAGAGGGTAGGCAAGGTCAGGTCAAGTGCATGTCATCAGGTACATGAGGCAGCCCACAAGCTCTGGATACGGGCCACTCGGCTCTACGGACTCGTCCGAAGGTGGAGCTGAGAGCGAGTGACCAGTAGGAAGAGGAGTGAACTGTCGCGAGGAGTACCGGAAGCCGAAGCACTGAAGGACCTGGTGCACCATGTGTGACTGAGTCAAGGTGATGGTGCGCCGTGCTCTGTCCCGGGTGATCTGCAAGCCAAGATAGCTGCGCAGCTCACCCTGGTCAGTGTAGGTGTGTCTCTTCTGCAGCTCCGACTTCACAAGGGCCAGTGCCTCAGTGTCAGCAGTGGCAAAGACCAAGTCGTCGACGTACACGAGGACGTAGAATGGCGGCAGCGAAGTGTCGGTGCGCAGAAAAAGCAACGGGTCAACAGTCAAAGGAGCAAACCCAAGAGCCGCAAGCGTCGTCCTCAATGTGTCGTGACACTCGCGATGCGCCTGGCGGAGACTGTAGACTGGCCGCCGGATGCTCTACTGGGTACCTGCAGGAAACGACCCAGTGAAGCCAGGTGGGCGGCGCAGCCAGATCTCCTCGTGCAGGCTGCCCTGTAAGAAAGCTGTGCTGAAGTCAAGAGAGTGCAGCTCGTAGTCACGCTGAGCGGCAACGTGCAGCAGAACCCGAAGAGTGGTCATCTTCGGGGTAGGGGAGAAGGTCTGGAAGAATTCAACTCCCTGTCGCTGACTGAAGCCTCGTGCAACGTAACGAGAATTGAAGACAGGCGGAGAACCCGGCGGCCGCTTCACCCTGAAAATCCACATGCCATCGACTATGTTCGCCCCAGAAGGGGGAACTGCATCGACGCAGGTGCCTGTGGACTTCCAAGATGCCATCTCTGCGTCCATGGCTGTCTGCCACTGAGAGGAATAGGGACCCTCTATTGCCTCTGCGTAAGAGCGCGGGGTCGGGATGTCTGGTGCATCCGGGTCTCCCTTAGGTGCAAGCAGCATGGCCACGAGATGAGGTACAACAGCTGCAAGACACTCAAAGTCCTCCTACCTATCCTCAAGGACGTCCGTGCCAAGAGCACACTCACCCCCGATGGACGGAGGACAGTCAGACGTAGACTCAGCATCAAGACAAGCGGCGTAGTCGAGACGACAGGCAACAGCAAAGTCAACAAGCTCAGCAACTAGGGAAGACGCAGCAGTGGACTCAAACAAAGGGTCAGTGACAACAGAGGCTAGAAGACGTGGGACAGTAGGACTGGCAGCACGAGCTGAGTCAGACTCAGGGTCAGGAACGGCAGGAAGAGAGGACGCAGGAGGAGACGGCAGGGGAGCTCGCAGTGGAACAGAGGAAGGACGAAGTGCCATAACGTGAGTGCCGGGAACAGGAGGAGGACACGGACGAGGAACACGATGACCAGTGCGAAGAGCGCGAACAGGCGAGGCAGGACGAGACGCAGGCTCACCACGCTCTGAACGAGAGTCTGTCTGCTCAGCGTAAGGAGAAGGAGCAGGCAGTGGGGAGTCTGGCTGTTACTGTGGCTGCGACTGGTGAGGCGGTGGACACAGCAAGCTAGGGGTAAGGCCAGTAGAAGACGGGAGACTAAGAACCTCGGGAAGGACCGATTCAGGAGGCGGCAGAGACGTCGGCGGTGTCGAAATGAAAAACGGGCGCCGCTGCACAGTGCCTCCTGCACTAGGACCGCCAGCTCCAGCAACCCCAGCGCCAGCACCTCCAGCTCTAGGGTCTCCAGCTCCAGTGCCTCCAGCTCCAGTGCCTCCAGCGCCAGTGCCTCCAGCTCCAGCGCCTCCAGCTCCAGTGCCTCCAGCTCCAGCTCCTCCAACTCCAGCGCCTCCAGCGCTAGGGCCTCCAGCTCCAGGGTCTCCAGCTTCAGTGCCTCCAACACCACCAGCTTTGGCCGCTCCAGTACCTCTAGTACGAGCACCTCAAGGACCAGCAGCTCCAGCGCCTCCAGGACCTCCAGCTCAAGCAGTAACTCCAGCACCTCTAGGACTAGAAGCTCTAGCACCTCCAGCTCCAGTGCCTCCAGCTCCAGCGCCTCCAGCGCTAGTGCCTCCAGCTCTAGGGTCTTCAGCTCCAGTGCCTCAAGCGCCAGGGTCTCCAGCTCCAGCGCCTCCAACACCACCAGCTCCGGCAACTCCAGTACCACTAGTACGAGCACCTCCAGGACCAGTAGCTCCAGCACCTCCGGTACCCTCAGCTCCAGCAGTAACTCCAGCACCTCCAAGACTAGTAGCTCCAGCACCTCCAGCTCAAGTGCCTCCAGCGGCAGAGCCTCCAGCTCCTGCAGCGCCACTCCTAATGCATGTGCGCTAAGCAAACCACTCGCGCAGCTGCTGGGGTGAGAGAGGCTCCTGCCGATGAGACAGTCGTGGCGAGGCTCCTGCAGGACCTCCAGAAGACGCAGTACCCCTAGGCTCAGCACCCCCAGACTCCGCACCCTCAGACTCAACACCCCCAGGCTCCGCACCCTCAGGCTCAGTAACCCCAGGCTCCGCACCCTCAAGCTCAGCACCCCCAGACTCCGCACCCTCAAACTCAGCACTCCTAGGCTCCGCACCCTCAGGCTCAGCACCCCCAGGCTCCGCACTCGCAGGCTCAGCACCCCCAGACGCAGCACCCCCAGACGCAGCACCTCTAGCAGCACCTGAGTCTACAGCGACCTCGACAGGCTCAGCCAGGGGGAGTGGGTCTAGCTGAGACACACCTGAGGGAGCAGGACCCTGAGGGGGGAGGGGGTCTACCGGAGGGGGGCCTGGAGCGAGGAAGAGCGGCGGGGGGGGGGGAGAGGGGCAGTGCGGTAGGGGAAGAGACAGTAAAAGGGATCCGACTTGTCAAACGTGACGTCATGAGAGGGCATGACACGGCGCGAGGTGGGGTGGTAAAACTGTCAGCTAGGCGCGTCAGGGGGAAAGCCAAGGAAGATGCAGGGAAAAGCACGAGAGGAGAGCTTGTCCGCGGAAGTATCGTGGACAAAGGCACGAGATCCCCAGACCCGGAACACCGACGCATCGCCAACCTTCCCCGTCCAACGCACTGTAGACAAGGTCTCCGGCAAGGAGACATGGGGCCAGAGGTTGAGCTGATGTGCAGCGTACCGGACTGCAAACGGCCACAGAAAATGGGGAGCAGCCGCATGGATCATGGAGGTACGAGCAACCTCCATGACTAAGCCAATGCGGCGCTCAGCAACCCCATTTTTCTGCGGGGAGGCCAAAAGCGTGAACGACTGGAGAATGCCCTCCCCACGACAAAAGTCCCGCAAGAGGTCGGAGGAGAACTCACCACCTCTGTGAGAGTGCAGTCGCAGGACAGGAAGGTCCTCGCGGAACCGCTCGTGGAGTTGGAGATGGACTGCGTGGATCCAAGGGATCAAGACATCGGGGACCTCACCCTTGCTACGCAAGGGGAAGACCGTGGTGTAACGCGTGTAGTCGTCAACAACCAGCAGAAAGTAGCGCCCGCAGTCCTGTCCACTGACGCGGGCTGGGCCCCACACGTCCATGTGGAGACTCTGCAGGGGAGAAGTCGTCGGGGGAAACGAGGAGGAGTGAGGAGCGGCATGCTGCCGCCCCTCGATGCAAGGAAGGCAAGGCAGGACAGGCGAGGGCGGGAGGGGAGGCAGAGACCTGGGAAGACCAGAAACAAGGAGGTGGGAGTGCATGCCACGAAGGCGTGGAAGGGAGGGGTGACCAAGGCGGTGGTGCCACAGGAGATTCTGGTGCGACAGGAGGCGACACGAGCAGGGGGGTGCTACCGGACCTGACGCAGACACCTGAGCAGACGCAGCTACCTGAGGAGGCTCAGCAGACAGTGTGTACAAACTCGACCCAGGCCGATGGGTGAACGTGGCCAGGTAACAGCCCATCCGTGTACACGTGCAGATCGACACACGATGACCCCCACGAGTGGTGGTAGTGACCATTGCATCCTGGAGGTGGGTAATGAGGTCCTTGACTTTGGCAAAGGCTGACAGCTCAGGAAACAGGTAGGGCAGTATAAGGCGACCAAGAGCAGCAGTGGCAGGGGAAGAGTAACGAACGACTACAGTGTCGTACAGGGCTTTAGCAGTCTTGTGCTTGCCAAAGTGAGCGCGTTCGGCTAACGGCAGGTGGTTGCGAACGGCTAAGCAAGCAGCAGTGTCACGGGTAAGCCACTATGAGCAAGTCGCACTGTCAGCTGTGGCGGGAGGGGCGAGAGAGGCTCCAGACGTGTGGTCAAACAACAAAACGCTGTCTCTTGAATCGCTCAGTAGGTACAGCTTTAAGTCGTCGAGCCACGTATCAATCTGGATAGGACGGCCCTCATGATCGAAGGTGAGAACCATGAGAGAAGCCATAGTGGGCAAAGCAGGGTGGCGTGCGACCAGCAGGGCAGCACGCAGGCAGGGCGGCGCGCGAGCACTAGGGAAGCGCGCAGGGCAGGGAGAGGCGGCGCACGGCTAGGGAAGAGCGGCACGCGGCCAACGCAGGGCAGGGCGGCGGCCAGTTGTGCCGGTGCGTGGGCAGGGCAGGGCGGTGCGGCTGCCAGCAGGGCGGTGCGGCTGCCAGCAAGGCGGCGCGCGGGCAGCAGGGCGGCGCGCGGGCAGCAGGGCGTCGGCCAGCAGGGCGGCGCGCAGCAGGGCGGGCAGCAGCAGGGCGGCGTGGGCAGGGCGGTGCGGGCAGCAGTGCGGCTGCTAGCAGGGCGGCGCGCTGGCAGCAGGTTGCCGGCCAGCAGGGCTGCGCGCAACAGGGCGGGCAGCAGCAGGGCGGCGCGAGCAGCGGGGCGGCGCGCAGCAGGGCTGTGCGGGCAGCAGGGCAGCTCAGCGCGGGCAGGGCAGGGCGACGCGCAGGCAGGGCAGGGCGGCGCGGCTGCCAGCAATGCGGCGCGCGGGCAGGGCAGGGCAACTCGACGGCCAGCAGGGCGACGCGACAGGCAGCAGCAGGGCGACGCGACAGCCAGCAGGGCTACGCGACAGGCAGGGCAGGGCGACGCGACAGGTAGGGCAGGGCGACGCGACCAGTGGGGCAGCGCTATGTGGTGGGCCCTTAAAAAAAAACGGTCCTGGAATAGGATTTGCTATGAAACCATGTCAGAACACTGAACGAGAATGAATGCATTGAGCAGAAAGTTGGTACAAGTACTAACCCTAATTGGGTTGTACCCCTTATGGGCTACCCCACTACAACTTGCACAATATAAACATTATAACATTTTGACAACACTACCCCCGTAACTTGATGGGGTTGAATTCATCCCACCAACTTGCATGCTGAATTACATTGTAAATGTACTGTACAACCAGCTAGCGAGCCGCAATGACGAGCCACATTGGACTTTGTTTCTTGGTTGAGTGCTAGGCACGGTAGATGGGAGTAGATAAGGGGTAGTTCTTTCTTGTAATTCTGAGAGCGCTGACGAAGGCCATCAGCCCAAACGCGCGCACGCTCAGGTTTGAATGACAATTTCTTACCTACTATCCTAAGCTCAGCCTAGAGAAGATTAGGACGAGTTAGGACTGCTGGATCCAGATCGAAACTATTTTTCTATGCTACAAGATACTATCTCTTCGAATTTCAGGACCTCTTGAGCCCGGACTACTCGTTTCTAGTAGCAGAGGTGTTAGAAGTGTTATGACTGATGAAAATTGAGGGAAACGTACTTCTGAGATGAGATCGCCGGAGGTTGCGCTTCCTAGGCGTTTTAGGAAACCCGCTCATATAGATAAGAAGAATACGACCACTGGACCACAACGACCAGGTTTTGTCACCGCTAGTTCTCTATTATCCAGATCGCGCGTAGATCTACCATTTGCGGTTGAAGATCTATCCCTACGATGAAAGATTACTCCGCTACGGGTGCAGGGACCTGTGAAAAAATGAGGAATGATTGAACTAGGAAAGTGTGAGATACAAATATGAAAGCTGTACCCCTTAGTGTCTACCCCACTACAGCCTACATAGGTTAAGGCATATAAGTCTGACACACCCCCATAGGCAAAGTGGGGGAGAACTAGGGGTCACAAGACCAGTCAAGCAAAGCAAAGCAAAGCAAAGCAAGCTCAGGGTGGATCACAACGTCACCACACACTCTGAGCACAGGTTCAAAGGCCACAAGGCCAGTTCACAAGCAAGTTCATATATAAAGGTAAACAAGCAAGTGCAGGTATATAGAGATCACAGTACAAACAAAGTCAAGAGGTAAGCAAGTGAGGCCAAGTAGGCACAAGACCTAGCATAGTACAGAAGCGCTGATGATCACAAGGCTGAAGTGCCTTGGTAAAGATATCAGCAGTGTTGGCCTGAGAGGCCACGTAAGCAAGGCGCAGCTGACCACGCTGCTGCAGCTCACGAGCAAGGAAGTAGCGAAGAGCAATGTGCTTCATTCTGTGCTCCAGTCTGTGCTCCCGACACAAGGCCAGCATGGCCTTGTTGTCTACGTACAGAACTGGAGGAGAACGAGGCGGCTCTCCCAGGTCAGTTAGCAAGTAGGTGAGCCAGCGTAACTCCTGCGCAGCCATGGCCCCGGCGTAGATCTCAGCCTCACAGCTGGAGCTGAGAAAAGAAGACGAGCGAGTAGACCGCCACGAAACCGAGCCGGAACCTAGGCTGAAGGTGTAACCCTGTCACGACCGCTGTGTAGCCAGGTCGTCAACCCAAGACGCGTCTGCATGACCAGTGAGGACCACTGGACTCCGCCCTCCAAGCACTAGCCCCAAGCCTGAAGTACTGCACAAGTAGCGCAACACCCTCTTCGCTGCAGCCATGTGCTCTGGTCGGTGTCTCCCAAGAGCAACATAGCGTGCCAGAATGCTCAGAGGGTATGCTAGGTCAGGTCGAGTGCAGGTCATCAGGTACATGAGGCAGCCAACAAGCTCTGGGTATGGGCCACTCGGCTCTACGGACTCATCCGAAGGCAGAGCTGAGAGCGAGTGGCGAGTAGACAGAGGAGTGGCCTGAGGCGAGGAGTACGTGAAGTCAAAGCGCTGAAGGACCTGCTGCACCATGTGTGACTGAGTCAAGGTAATGGTGCGGCGTGCTCTGTCCCGGGTGATCTGCAAGCCAAGATAGCTGCGCAGTT